GCACCGGGCATGGGCACCGGGCATGGGCACCGGGTACTGGGCATGGGCACCGGGCACCGGGCATGGGCACCGGGCATGGGCATCGGGCATGGGCACCGGGCATCAGCACCGGCACCGGGCACCGGGCAATGGGCACCGGGCACCGGCACCGGGCATGCGGTGCCGCCCGGTTCTCCCTCCCGGTGCTCCCGGTTCTCCCTCCCGGTTCTCCCCCAGTGTCCCCCGGTTCTCCCTCCCGGTTCTCCCCCCGGTTCTCCCTCCGGTTTTTCCTCCCGGTTCTCCTCCCCGGTTCTCCCCCCAGTTCTCCCTCCCGGTTCTCCCCGGTTCTCCCCCGCTCTGACCTGACGCCCATCTTGTGCGTGCGGAAGCCGAGCACCGAGTCCAGCACGAGGCTCGTGGCCAGGTCATCGTTCTCGCACAGCTCCCGCGCCGTCACCGCCGTCCCCGCCGCCCGCGCCGCCGCCGGCCGCTCCCTCCGCCGCCTCCTCCGCCGCCGCGCCTGCAGCACCGCGAGCGGCGTCAGCGGGAGCGCCCGCGGGGCGCAGCCCGAGCGCGGGGCGAGCCCCGGGAGCGCCGGGAGCCCCGGCCCGGCCGTTACCGCAGCGCCGGAGCCGCGGGAGCCGCGGGAGCCGCCGCCCGCACCGGGCCCGGCGCGGCCGCGGCGCCGCCGCCCGCCCGCTCCCGCCGCGCGCTCCGCCATCCCCATTGGCCGCCGCCCCGCCGCGCCGCCGCTCCCATTGGCTGCCCGCGAGGCGCACGGTGAGCTGATTGGTGGCAACCGCGGCGCTCCCGCATTGGTCCGCGGCGTTGAGGGCTGGCTATTGGCCCGCGGAGATGCCGATCAAACCGTTTTGTCTTGTCATTGGTTGAATTCGCTCGAGGGCGGCTGAAATCCCTCCTTTTTATTCTATTGGCTAAACCCAACCGCCTTCCTCGCTTCCTATTGGCCTCCTCCCTCCCGCTCCTCCCTCGCTATTGGCCGAGCGCGCTGTCACTCACTCCGCCGGCTCACAATGCGCCGGCCATAAACAATGCGGCCGAAACCCCGCCCCTTCCGCCGCTGGCCCCGCCCACGCCAAGATGGCGGCGGGCAGGCGCGGCGGGCGGCGCTGAGCGGGGCCGGGCGTCACCGGCGGCTCCCGGCGGGCCCGGATCGGTCCCGGATCGGCCCCGATCGGCCCCGATCGGCCCCGGGGCTCTCGCAGCGGCGCGCGGCGCGGCCATGGCGGCGGCGGAGGGCGGCGGGGCCGGCGGCGGCCGGCGGGAGCCGCCGCGGACGCTGCAGGGGCTGCTGGAGATGGCGCTGGCGGCCGGCGAGGCGCGGCCCGAGCCCCGCCAGCCCCTGCCCGAGGAGGTGCCGGCGCCGGGCGGGACCCGGGGGCGCTCGGGGGGCTCGGGGGCGCTCTGGGGACGCTTTGGGGCTGTCTGGAAGCTTTGGGGGCTCTTTGGGGCTGTCTGGGGACACTTTGGGGCTGTCTGGGCTCTTTGGGGCTGTCTGGGGACACTTTGGGGCTCTTTGGGGCTGTCTGGGGGCACTTTTGGGGCTCTGGGGTCACTTTTGGAGCTTTTTGGCCTCTCTGGGGACACTTTGGGGACACTTTTGGGGCACTTTGGTCTCTCTGGGGACACTTTTGGGGGCACTTTGGGGCTTTTGGGGCTCTTTGGGGCTGTCTGGAAGCTTTGGGGCTGTCTGGGGTCACTTTTGGGGCTTTTCGGCCTCTCTGGGGACACTTTTGGGACACTTTTGGGACACTTTTGGGGCTTTGGAGTCACTTTTGGAACTTTTTGGCCTCTCTGGGGACACTTTTGTGACACTTTTGGGGCCCTAGGGTCACTTTTGAGGCTCTGGGGACACTTTTGGGGCTCTGGGGTCACTTTTGGGGCTCTTTGGGCTCTCTGGGGACACTTTTGGGGCTCTTTGGGCTCTCTGGGGACACTTTTGGGGCTCTTTGGGCTCTCTGGGGACACTTTTGGGGCTCTTTGGGGCTGTCTGGGGACACTTTGGGGCTCTTTGGGCTCTTTGGGGACACTTTCGGGGCTCTTTGGGGTCACTTTTGGAACTTTTTGGCCTCTCTGGGGACACTTTTGGGGCTCTTTGGGGCTGTCTGGAAGCTTTGGGGGCTCTCTGGGGTCACTTTTGGGGCTTTGGAGTAACTTTTGGGGTTTTTGGGCTCTTTGGGGTCACTTTTGGGGCTCTTTGGGGCTGTCTGGGGGCACTTTGGGGCTGTCTGGAAGCTTTGAGGGCTCTCTGGGGGCACTTTTGGGGCTCTGGAGTAACTTTTGGGGCTTTTTGGGCTCTTTGGGGGCACTTTTGGGGCACTTTGGTCTCTCTGGGGACACTTTGGGGTCACTTTTGGGGCTCTGGGGTCACTTTTGGGGCTCTTTGGGCTCTTTGGGGTCACTTTTGGGGCTCTTTGGGGCTGTCTGGGGACACTTTGGGGCTTTTCAGCTTCTCTGGGGACACTTTGGGGGCACTTTTGGGGCTTTTGGGGCTCTTTGGGGGCACATTTGGGGCTGTCCGGAAGCTTTGAGGGTTCTCTGGGGACACTTTTGGGGCTCTTTGGGCTCTTTGGGGGCACTTTTGGGGCTCTTTGGGGCTGTCTGGAAGCTTTGAGGGTTCTCTGGGGGCGCTTTTGGGGCTCTGGAGTAGTTTTGGGGCTTTTTGGCCTCTCTGGGGACACTTTCGGGACACTTTTGGGGCTCTGGGGTCACTTTTGAGGCTCTGGGGACACTTTTGGGACACTTTTGGGACACTTTTGGGGCTCTGCAGTCACTTTTGGAACTTTTTGGCCTCTCTGGGGACACTTTTGGGGCTCTTTGGGCTCTTTGGGGTCACTTTTGGGGCTCTGGAGTCACTTTTGGGGGTTTGGGGGTCCCCGGGATAATTCGGGGTCCCAGGGCCTGGTTTGAGGTGCCAGAGGCGAATTTTGGGGTGACTTTGGCCGATTTTGGGGTAATTTTGCCCGATTTTGGGGTGACTTTGCCCGATTTTGGGGTGACTCTGGCTGATTTTGGGGTGACTCTGGCCGATTTTGGGGTTATTTTGGCCGATTTTGGGGTAATTTTGGGGTAATTTAGGGTAATTTGTGCCCCCCAGGGCAGCAGCAGCTCCCTGCTCTGGTGTCAGGGACTGTGACGGGTTCTGGGTTAATCCCACTTTAATTTCACTTTAATTTGGTTTTACTTTCACTTTAATTTCACTTTAATTTCACTTTAATTTCGCTTTAATTTTTGTTTAACCTCAGGGTAGCTTTGGGATAATTTAGGATAACTTTGGGATAATTATTTAGGATAACTCTAGGATAATTTATGATAATTTTGGGGTAACTTAGGATAATTTAGGGTAACTTTGGGATAATTACTTAGGATAACTTTGGGATAACTTAGGCTAACTTTGTGATAATTTAGGATAACTTTGGGATAATTATTTAGGATAACTTTGGGATAATTATTTAGAATAACTAGGATAATTTAGGATAACTTTGGGATAATTTATGATAACTTTGGGATAATTATTTAGGATAACTTTAGGATAATTTATGATAACTTTGGGATAATTTAGGATAACTTTGGGATAATTATTTAGGATAATTTAGGATAACTTTAGGATAATTTAGGATAACTTTGGGATAATTATTTAGGCTAACTTCGGGATAACTTAGGACAATTTAGGATAACTTTAGAATAATTATTTAGGATAACTCTAGGATAATTTAGAATAACTTTAGGATAATTTATGATAACTTTGAGATAACTTAG